TCCAATCTAAACAAGAAAACAAAGGATCCAATAATTTCTCAGTTTCATGAGTAGTAGTGATAAAATATCAAAATTTTCAACACATATTCTTTAATAAACTAAAAACTAGAATCATCATCATTATTTCTTTTTCAAATTATTTTCTTCTGATAATACTTACCCTTTTGAATCTGCAAGTTCAGCATGGTATCTTTTTCTTTCAAATCGCGAAGCCATTTTTTGTAAAGGGTGGGTGATTATTATATACAGAAAGGTTCTTTTTGTGAAATATACGAAATATACGAAATATACAGACCTAAATGACAAATAAAAATTAACTTTTAGAGTTGGTAAACACTCTGTAGCCCATTACTGATATTGTAAATGGGGTTCGCTGGGCACCTTTTACCAAGTCCCTGAAATTTTGCTAATACAAAAGTTCACTGTGCCCCAATAAAATTTTTGTAGAAGCTTGAAAAGAATAATAACGCGTTGATATTATTTTTGAATTAAATGACAAAAAATACCAAAAAAATTTTTTAGGCACATATTCGAATTAGACATATTAAAAATTTATTCTGACATAAAAATCTCAATTAAACTAACATTACTCAACAACTCCACATCCAACTTGTTGGGAAAAAAACCAATATAAATAAATCTCAAGTGAATCCTTATAATAAAGAATTTACAAAGAATACCAAAAGCCAAAAGGCTCCAGAAAGAATAACTAAAGAAACTACGGAGTTAGATCCTCCCAATCAAACAAATGTGCATGAAAATAAGGAACTAGAAACAATGAATGAAATTGAAAATGATAGCAATCAGGAAATGCAAGAAGAACATAGTAATAATATTAAAAATAATAACAGTCAAAAATCCAATAAAGACAAAACAGAAGAAACTGCTGGAAATCAATGGGTTAAAATTGAAAAGAAAACTCATTACAAAGCTTCTATAGAAATAGACAACTTGAACACAAAAAATATTAATAGAAAATGTCATTTAGTAGAAAATAAATTATCAGAATTAGGTAAAGAATATAACTAGAAAGGTAATCGAAAAAATGGTAGAACAAGAATTGGGAACAATTATTAAAATCAAAACAAGAACATCAGGCCCATGGAGAATAGCTGATGTAGAGTTAAAAGAAGAATTGGATGAGAATACAATTTTAAACCAATGGTCAATAAGGATTCAAAAAGATGATGTTAAAATGCCATAAATAAAGAACAAATCCAAACTAGAGAAAATTTACAATGAAATTAACAAACCTGTCCTTTGGCACCACAATGTATGATTTGGAAGACATATCCAAAGCAACTAATGCCAAAATGGTAATAATTCCAAGACCAAATGTAAGATTTGGAATTTGTGCCTTTTTTGATGTACAAATTAATTTTATTTTGGATTTGGGAATCACGATTTTTAATTGAGTGACATCTATATTTAAAATGGTAACATGGGTGGAAACTTATATTTAAACTATTTCACTTGTTCCTTGAGCATATAGGCTAATCTGACTAGTGTGATCTTATGGTACAACAATGTGATTAAACTTTCAGGGACATGGCCTTGAAATATATCAAAATATGTGAAATTATATGCAATAAAATATTTATTATTAATATTAATAATGAAATAAAATAAAAAACAATATAAGTGAAGAAATAAAAAAAATTTGTGAATCATATCAAATATTGGACTCCAAATAACTTTTTGATTTGCAGCTTCATCGAGCACCATTTCTTTGATATGCCTTCATTTGTTCTTCTATTGATCCCAAGATCACAAAGTTCTTTACATGATATTTTTTATTAAAGACATACTTTAACAATATTGCTACTTCTTGATCTGACCATTTGATTCTTGCTCCTGATACTATATGTAGTGGAGTTCAGGGTTGGAAAATGTACAGTCCATTGATGGTCCATTGGTGGTCCATTGGGACCATTAGTGTAACACTTTAACCATATTTAGTATTTTATTAATGGCAATGGACCAGTCCAAAATCCATCTGTTCTCAATGGACCAGTCAATTTGCCAACCCTGAGTGGAGTTCCATCTTCTATAAAGCTCAGTTCTTCCTCATCAGCTTCATTTGTTTGATAATTTTCATTATTTATTATGAGTACAACTGCTCTATCCTCAATTTGCATTTGACTGGCCACCACAATCACTTCTCTATGATTCTCCTCTTCCTCTTCTACTTCCTCTTCATCATCTACTTCTTTTCCTTCATCCATTTCTTCTACATCATCCACTTCTTCTACATCACCCACTTCTTCTACATCATCCACTTCTACATCATCAATTTTTCTACATCATTTATTTCTATTTCATGTCTCTCTCTTCATTATTCACAACCTCTCCCTCTTCATCATAAACATCTTTTAACAGATTAAAAATTTCATCAGGTTGTAATGGCATTTTTATATTTTCGTCTTGAATAAAATCCTTAATCTTATTGTATAAAGCATGTAGGTCAAATAATTAGAATGACAATTTGTGGCAATAACCAACACCACTTTTCTTTTTAATAATCATTAACTAGAGTGACGTTGAGTAATGATGAGTGGTGATAGCCACAACCATAAACACTTATCCAGCAGGAACAAATTCCCTTTGTCATTTATTATTACTTCTGGTGTCTTTTGGCATTTTTAAAGATGTGTTATGAAAAAAAGAAACACGTGAACAAAATATTATTAATTATTATTGGCACTTGGTGTTGCACAAGGAATTTTTTTGGGTGACAGATGCAAATTGGGGGGTTTTTTTTTGGAAAAACATTTATTTTTCAAGGTGAGGAAATGTTAGTGTTGTTGTTTGGTTCTCCTAAGATGTGTTAATAACAGAGGTACTATTTTTTATTTGAATTGATATAATGTGGTGCCTTTTAGTTTATAAATATTTTGATTGGAATCAAAACGCAGAGCAGATCTTTATGGGTAATTATAAGATCCTTATCAAGATGATAATAAATGAACAATTGGTATTTTGCTTTTCGTAATCAGTAATAATATTAATATTAATATAATTAATTACAAGTCAAAACAGCATGACTGAAACAATTCAAATATGAAACAATTCACATTTAAATATGCAATGTTTGATTATTACAATAAAAACACTAAATTAGCAAAGAACAAAGAAAATTAGTTAAAAAAAATTATTTAAAGGGTAAACACCATATTGCAGCATTGATGCCACTGCTCATTATAGTTATGATTGAGCCCAAAATGTTCATGTATCACATTTAGATCAACAAGTAAGTAAAATCTATTACCTTAGTCCATGTAAAGTTCATTTATTTGGTATTCAAGATGAAGCAGTAAGGGAACAAATTAATTATGTTCTTAATGAAGATGAAATTATAGGAAAAGGACCCAATGGCACACTTGGTATGATTTTTGATGGAATTAAGAAATTGAACAAAGGTGAAAAGCATTTAAAGATTACTTGTGATAATGCTAGTGGACAAAATAAAAATAATGTAACAATTTGGTTTTATTTATATTTGGTAATTTGTGGTTATTACAAAAGCATTGAACTAAATTTCATGGTTCCAGGACATACCAAATTCAAATGTGATGGTAGTTTTGGCTTGATTAAAAAACTTTATAGAAAGACAAGGGTAGATTGTCTGGACCATGTAGTTGATGTAGTGAAAAGATCTAGTCCAGCAGGATTGAATAAAGCTCAATACTACAAGGCAGGAAAAGGTTTTCAATACTTAGATATCAAATCTATTTTAGGAATTTATTTTAAAAGATTAAATGGCCTACAAAAATATCAACATTTCCTTTTGAAGCATCAAATCTTGGTACAGTGAAAGTTCAAGAAGTTGCTAATGGTTCTTTTGTTGAATTTAATTTATTAAAAATTAGGAGAACAGATATTTTTGAAGAAATTAGAGCTTTATCTATCTTAATGTTAACACCACCTCCCTTGGATTACAAAAGACAAGAATATCTTTATCATAATATTCGTCCATTTGTGAAAGATGAATATAAAGATATTACTTGCCCAAGACCATCCTATACTGCCAACAAATAAAATATTTAGAATACATGTAAAATCACTTTCATGATTTTGTCACTCATTAATTTGTCCTTTACTGTCATTAAGTTTAATAAGTTTAATCTTTTTACACTTTTAAAAGTAAAAAAGTACTAAAATAATTTATATACTTAATGTACCCTCATAAAACTATATAAGTATATTAAAAAAATAAACAAAAAAAAAGGTAATAAAAAGAAAGTCATGACAAATATTTTAACAGAAATCCAAGAAAGGAACAAAGAACTATCAAATCACATTGCTGATTTAGAAAAGAAATTAGTTGATAAAGACAAAGAACTCAATGATTATAAAAATACAGAGGTAAGTGAGCAAGAGGAAGCAGAATTTAAGCAAGAAGCAACAGAAAGAATTCACCAAATATTGATAAATATGAGGGAAAGATTTCCTCACTGTAGCAAGAATATTGAACAAGATCTAAGAAAATTGATTAGCAAACCATTAAGAAATCAATTTATGACTGTTTGTTTTCAACATAGCCTTATGCATGACTATAAATGGGAAGGTAAAGAAAATCTAGAAAAAGTAGTTGAGAGAATTATTATAGATTACTTTGAAGACACCGAGTTAGCCATTGAATTGAAAAAAGATTGAAAACTATGAAATCAAAGAGCTCATATTTTTTCTCGAATAGAAGAAGGAAGTGTATAATAACAATAATAATATATATATTAATATATATTTTTCTAATAAACAGTGTAACAGTACTGCATCGTTTAAAAAAAATAAAATAAAATAAAATAATAACGCGTTGATAAGCATCTCCAAAAGTTATTATTTTTTTGTTTTACACAAGATGTGAAATTTATTGTTAGTATTACTATTACTGGCATCTTGGATTTTTTTCAATCTATTTTAATTAACCCCCGGAATTTTTGTTGTCCCATGAATTTTTTATCTTTGATAAAAGATAAAATTCGTCAATTAAAATTATTAATATGATAAATCAAATACTAAAGAGTCGATTTACTTACAAAAATTTTGTAAAATTTAATTATTACAATCAATTTTCACACAATTCACGTCCACTGAAAAGAGTACATCAAGCAGCTCTTTTCACTTTCAGTGATGCTTCTGCCAATACTGAAGATGTTATTGTATGTATTTTTTTACTTGAATAACATTCAATCAACTAATTCTTTAATTAATGATTAAAAACAACTATTATATGACTTTTCCAGTCAGAGTCAGAGGCATCGCAACATAGTAGCTTATATTATGATAATGTGTATCCACTTAGAATTGGAATATTTGACCTTAGACATTATATAGTCAGAACAAGTAAAAAAAGGCTTGAAACCAAAGTTAAATCTGGAAAATGGATTCCACAAGAAACTGAAATGCCATTTAATTTTAAGATTGAGGGTGTGGAACCTAGGTAAATATTAATTATTTCGATCCTATAATAATATTTAATCTATTTTTAAAAAACTCTTGTAAATTTTTAAATGAATTTAATTGATTGATTTAGAAAAAGAGAAGGCGGAATGTTGGTTAATTTTACATTTTCGGTTGATCCTGCACGAAAATCCGAAGCATTAAATGAAATCTATAAGAATGTTGAAGCTTATATATCGGCTAAAAACATTATACCGTGGTTTAATCTTAAACCGCTCGAAGTTTATATGGTTAAAGTTAGTATTTTTTTGATTTTGATTTTTTTACTTCCAATAAATACATGCTTATTAATATATTATTTGTGTATACTTTCAGGGCGAACCTTTTATTGAAGATTTGGCCAATAGATTTCCCGCAAGGTATTTATAATTTATTTACTAGAATATTTATCCATTTTGATATATAAAATAAATATTGGAATATAACTTGAATATATTAATAGTCGACTTCATGTTGAATTTCAAGGACCAGATGTTTCGATCGTACGTATACACATCATAAATATATATATTGTATAATAGTAATAATTTATTGATTATTTCGTAAAAATGAATCATAATTTTATTCCTCTTCTTTCAAAAAAATCATATATACATAGGAAACTTTGTATCAAATATTTCGACCATATGGATTAATTCGTGATATAATCCTACCGCAACCATCTTCAAAAGATGCCCCTCGATTTGCTTTGATACAATTCTCCAAAATGAGATCTGCTACAAGCGCTAGAAATTGTGTTCACGGTTTAATTACAGATGGCACGAGACTAAATATTGTCTATGATAAAACATTGGTAAGTATTATTTATTAATAGAGAAAAGGAATGGGTGCTGATTAATGAGGAAAAAGAAGATATTAAATTAAGAAAATTTTAATCTTTATAGAAATCAAATATGATATATAGCTGGATGATTGCACATCCAAGAACTTCGGTAAAAAAAATTTTTTTCATTAATCTTTAATTAATGAGTACAATCCTCATTCTTTTTGTCTTTTTTTAATATTTTATTTATTTTGTCTTTTTAGATACCATTAATAGCAGCTGCTATTGCTGGTATTACTTACACAATGTAATCTATAAACTCATAAATTATTATCGATCAAATTATGTGCATATTTTAATTTTTTAAATATTTTTTAAAACAAAATAGCTTTGATCCGATTCGAACCTTTTTTATAACTTCAAAAATCACACAACGATTCAACCCTCAAGAATATCGTATTTATCAATGGCTTAGACGTGAAACTATTGACAGATTATTAACTTACCGTAATAAAAATGAAGATAATTCATTATCTTATCTTAGTAATTGGGTTGAAAGAGAACAAGAAGAAATAAAATTAAATATTTGGTTGAAAGAACCACCAGGTTTATTTTCATTTATTTGATTTATTGATATTTTTTTCTCCCTTCTATAAATATATAAATATATATTTTTGTTAAATAGAAACATTTATTGTATTATTGGGTCCTACTGGTAGTGGAAAAAGTGGATTCATTGATAAAGCTTTAAAAAATAAAAGGTAATATTTTAAAAATTTTTTTTCTTTTAAAATTTTTTTTGAAAACATTTAAATTAAATATTAAAAAAAATTTTTTCTAGAAATAAACTTTTTATAAAGTGTGATGAAATTCAAAATTCTCGTGATGAAAGTGAACTTGTATTAAAATTGGCAAAACAAGTTGGTTATTTCCCTGTATTTAGTACATTGGTATCCATGTCAAATTTAATTGATGGATTGGCAAGTGCAACGATTGGTCAAAAGACCGGTAATTTATATAACTATATTTAAATATATTATATGATTGTATACATTTCTTATTATCATCATAATTATTAATTCAATATTTCAGGATTTTCTTCAACGACTGATTCTGAAATCAAAAAGATTCTCGATGCATTGGCAATTGCTTTACATGATGTAGCACCTGAAAAGTTAAGGAAAAGTACTCGTTATAATCAAAAAAAGAAGCATGATTTTATCACGACATCAATTGTTGAATCTTATGATCCAGCCGATATTCCAATTGTTGTGATTGATGATTATATGATTAAAGATAAGGAAAATCATGAACTTTGGGATCATTTGGCTAAATTAGCTGCAATCCTTGTAGAAAATAGAGTTGCTCATGTGGTTTTCGTTGGTTCAAACGTTGGTATTGTAAAGCATTTAAATAAAGGTATTTATTGCATCATCATTGTTGTAGTTGTTGTCATCATCATTATATTTTCATGCATTTGAGTTAAAATAATCACTATATATATATTCAATAAGCACTTCCAAACAAAACATTTAATTTTGTTAATCTTTCTGATGCGCCATATGAACGAGCCATTAGTTTGGTAAAGAGTCACGTACCTGATAAAGAAGATAAAGGACTTGATGGGGCTGTAAATGCACTTGGTGGCCGTTTAACTGATTTGAAATTATTTATTAATAAAATAAGTAGTGGTCAAAGTTCTCAAGGTAAATGATATATATTTTAAATAAGCGATAATAATGTTATTTTTATCGAATGTTGTTTTTTATTTACCTAAACAATACCATACACACACACATATATATAATATAGAGGCATTGAATGAACTTATATTCAAATCTGTTATTGAAATTCGTAAACTTGGCTTTGGTGATGATGTTGAAGATGCCAAAACTATTCCTTGGAGTGGTATACAATTTTGGAAAATAGTGAAAGATTTGGCTAAAGGAGAACCTGTACTTTTTTTTAATAAATTTTTTTTTAATAATCAATAATTGTGCATCATCGATTTTTAATTTTTAAATATTTTTTTTAGGTACCATATGATAAAATTAAATATTCATCAATATTTAAAGGTGATGATACCTCAATAAGGGCTATGGAACAAGCCGAATTGATTTCAGTTTCACAATTAGATGGTGACATTTATTTTTTTAAATTGTGAAATATTTATATTCCACATAATAACAATATTAATAATGATTTCTTCCATAATTAATAACATTGACGATGTCACCTCCACACTTTTAATAATGATAATGTTGATATATATAGGACGACCTGATTTTATAAGATTAGGAAAGCCACTTTATCAAGTAGCTTTTCAACAAATCATATCCGACAAATTATTTGCAGCAACAATGGAACTTCAAACATATAAATATCTTTTTGAATTTGAAACAGATAAAATTAAAAAATATGAACAAGAGCTTGAAAGTTTGGGACAATTATTTGTTAAACAAGAAGGAAAATGGTTGTTTGGTAGTGGTCGCGTTCCTGCTATTGTTGATCAACGAGTTAAATTTCTATTGGAATTGGTACAAAAAAGTCATGTTCGTACTGTTGATTATGAAAAAAATATTGAAGAATTGAAAAAATTTATTGCTTCTGGTGGAACTTCGTAAGAGTTGATAATTATGACAACGATGACTACAGTCTCAAGATAATAATTATCTATTTAATTAACTAAATTAATTATTATTCATATGGTTAATGTTACCTGGAATTATCATAAATTATTAAGGTTTGCTTTTTTAATATCATACATAATATTTCTTTCGACAATATTTTTATAAAAATATTAATAATTTATAGTAATTATTTTTTTTTTAATAAACGAAATATTTATACAAAAATTGCAATTAGTAGAAAAAAAAATTAAATGATAGCTTATTGCAACGAATACATATATATGTATGTATGAAGATTTTAAATGTTGGGGGAGGGGGTTTAAAAAAAAGCCAAACCAAAATTAAAAAAGCCCTGATAGTATTTTATTATTGAATTAATCTTAGTGATGCTGAAAAAGTTATTGGAAGTAAATATAATTTATTAAATAAAAAAAACTAATAAATAAAATTATTATATAATAAAGATAATATTATCTACCAAAAATTACAATTAAGAAAAAAAAAAATGATTACTAAATATTTGGCTTATTCTGCAGCTACAGCTTCTTTATCGTCATTTATTCGTATTAATGCCTCTGGGTAATTATTCTGAGTCCGCGACAAGCGTTTAAACTTCTTAACAGCAGTTATCTAACAAAAGATATGTTTAAGAAGATCATTAAAAAAGGGAATCGCAAGGTGTTGAATCTTTTGTAATTGAGGCAATTTAAAAATCATATAAAAAAAATTTTCATACCAAAGTTACTAAACTCCTAATACTAATAGGTTTAATAGCAGAACTTAATTCATCATCAGTAATTTCCGTAACCATTTCAGTACAATTTTCTGCAGTGGAAATAAGAGGCTCAGCTCCACGAAGAGTAACCCAAGGATGTTCCTAAAAAAATTTTATTAAGAAAAAAATATATACAATACATAAAAAAAATTTGACTTAAAGAAAAAATATACCCTAAGTTCGTGCATGGTAATTCTTTTGTCTGGATCTTTTTCAAGCAACTTGTAAAGAATATCAGCTAGATCAGGATTTATATTTCCAGAGATTTGAACACTTCAAAATTTTTCAAATGAAAAAAAATTGTTATTGGTAATTAAAAAAAATATTAATGTTAAACACTTATGAAATAACATACTCGTCATTTTTTATAGACTCATAAAGTTCTAAAATATTGTCTTTTTCGAATGGTAAACGGCCAAACACTAGACAATATAAAGTTACTCCCATTGACCAAATATCAGCCGCCTTTCCTGATATTTCGCCGTGATGTGCTGAAAAAAAAAAAAGAAAAAAGAAAATTTCAATACTTTTAATTGAAAAATAATAATAATTGATTTATTAATTAATTATCTCAACCTTTACATAATTCCTAGATTTTTTTTATTAAAAAAAAAAAAAGATGTATTAATTAATAATTTTATTAAAAAAAAACACAATTAAAAATTATATATATATAAAATTATATTTATTAAAATTTACCGGTGCCATGAATGCTGGACTTCCTGCTGATTTTGTCGTTTTGTCATTTCCCCTAACAAATATTTCGGATACACCAAAATCTACAATTTTAAGGATATCGTCTTTGGACAAGAGAAGATTATCTGGTTTGATATCTGAAAATATCAAAATCACATAACAATAAAATAAATTATATATACATCATCAATAATCAAACAAATTATGTGTGGGAGCATAATTATTTTTAATTATGTTAATATGTATGATCCAATTTCAAAAAATTACCTCGATGGATGATGTCATTTTCGTGCACTAAATAGTGAAATAAGATTCCAACAAGTAACCGTCGAAATTCATTGGTAAATCATTACAGCAAAGAATCTCTATATATATGATTTTTTTTTTTTTTTTTTTGATTGATAATATAATTAATTCAAAGCGATAATTGCTTACAATATTCAAAACCTAGAATCATTTCTATAAAATAGAGTCGACTTTTTTCTTCGGAAAATGGTTTTGCTTGCTTGTTAATGCTGATATTCATAAGATTACCATTATCACACATTTCGAATACTGTTAAACAAAATTATATTAAATTAAATAAAGGGGGGTTTTTTTTTGATAAAATGATAAATCTTTTTATTTTATTTTAAAGTTTATCATACCCATGTATAGAGAATCATTTTCAGGATCATCTAAAACCTCAAACAACTTTACAACATTCGGATGATTTAATTTTTTTAAGACTGCCACTTCCCCACGTATTAAGTATAATGGATCTGAGTTATCTTGTAAATTGGGATTAGGGGCAAACCTACCCCTACGAGCACCTCGAAAGCCGCCACGACGAAAATAATTTGCCATATCTCTTTTTCGAAGTCTGGCCTTACTGAATTCTTTTATAGCCTATTACAATATAATGAATTAATATTTGTTAAAAATAATAATAATAAAATAATAATTAAATTTCAACTATCTCGATCTATTTATTATTAATTCAAATAATTCAAAAAAAAATAATCCTGTTCCATTTAGAAAGAATTCCTTTTTCGGTTCAGTGAGTGAATTTGTTTTTTTTACATACATAATGCGCATTAGTGTCTTTTTCTATAGCCTGAATTACAGTACCATAAGCCCCTCGGCCAATAACCTCTCTCAAAATATAGTTATTTAGACAACGTTCACCATCTTGGGTTTCTGTCACAGTAGCATCTAATGTTTCCTTAATCTCATGAGGAACAGAAGGCTCACGTTTGTGAACCGCTGAATATCTTTTATTGATGGTAGTGGCGGCGTCGGTGTCAGCGTTGGCGTTGGCGTTAACGGTGGTAGTAATTGCGGCAGTGGTTTGTTCAGAACTAAAAGTTGGCGAGTTAATCATTATTTTTTAATATCAAAAAAAAAAAAGAAAATATAGTCGTAAAATCAACAAGGATTTTGTTTGCAACGCAAAAAAACGTAATACAAAAAGATTTTTTTGATTATAAATAGTGACAAATATGGGAGCATACTGCAACAAAGGGTCTCATTTTATAGTAACCCTAATAACGTGTTCATGATTATAATGAGTGTTTTGTTTTCAATTGATAGGAGTTTCTGTTTTAAATTCTTTTTCATTTTCAAAGCAGAGATTAATGTAATGTTTTATCTAACATTATGATTAACTCTGATCAAGTATTATTGATACAGACTGAGTCGATATATTTACAAAATTTATTAAACTGGCAATTAAGTTTATTATAAATTTAGGATCTACAAACCCTACACTCGAAAGAAATAAATGGGGGGCATGGACAATAAAAAAGGGGAATCTGCAAAATCGTGATTTTGAGAAAATTAAACCAACAGGAAATATCTCAAGATATTATTAAGTGGACATAGCTTCTAATCTAAAATTATTTCGCATGGTGAATTGCATATTTAATATAGAAGTGCTATTAATTCAAATCCGGAATGTTTATAGTTATCCTTGTTTCTATCGTCTCTGCCGATTTACTATTTTTTAAAGAAATTTAACAGAAAATATCTCAAAATTTTATCAAGTGGATATGGTTTTTAAGTTAAAATTAATCTTTGTGGTAAATTACATGTAAAAGTGTTATTAGCTCAAAATCATGATTTTGGCAGATTCCACCTTTTCTATTGTCCATACCCTAGTATAAATATTAATTAGTGTTGGATTATTATAATTGAGGCTATTAGTAAAATTTAGAAACTTTACCATTTTAGTAACAAAAAATTAAAAGTTTTACCTGTATAAGACATGTAACTTTATATGTAAACCATTAAAAAATTATCCAATATATTTTTATCTAAAGAACTAAGAAATCATGTTAATTTAGTTGTTTGATGTTCTTCACACTAATTCTTAATAAACTCAAAAAAACATTTGAAAAACAACAATAATAATAGTTTAGTACTTAAAATGAAAAAGGACAAAACTTTCTATATCAATTACAACTTAGCACTCACAAATTTCATATGACATAAAAATTGTTTACCTGATTTGGATACGACTTGTAAAATTTTTCTGCTATACCCCAATATAATCATGCCACTTTAAAAAAATCGGATATTACCTCAATTATAATAATCCGGGGTACTATATTAGCATTGTGTTTTATTTTTAAATTTTTCAATATTAATACTAGTTAAATAATTTACCTATTACATAATGCAATATATTAATTTTACAGCTAACTCGGATTTATGACGGCAGCAACATTGTGAGAACTGCAAACAGGGGTTCTTAGCCCCTGCTAACATAATGAATGAGCCGACTTCTACAACCGAGGTAATGGGGTCATATCTATCATTGTTATTGTTTCCTCTTGTAAATGATGGTAATCCACGACGGATGTTACGTAAAGCATTAATGTACTGATTCCACAAAGTTGTGCATTTATTCATAACATCTTAAGTTGTCAAACCTGACCAATATTCTCCACTTATCCATGTAATTACCTTTGAAAAAAAAAGAAAGGGTTTATCTTAGGTTTTATAAGTGAAGAAAATATTGTAGATTAAAATAAATATTCATTTTATCAATATTAAATGCTAGTCTTCACCAGTTTAAGGCATCATTTCCAAATTCTGTCATCGTCACTCCATGCCTTCCCAAGCCAGCAAAATCAATTGAACGAAACAAATCAAAAATAGCATTTTTTTGAATTGAAATATTATATCTGCTTTTGAAACTGGGTGATAGGTGTAAGGTCAAATAAGCAGAGGCCATGGTCATCCTTCTTATTTGTTTTCTTTCTTGAGCATCTCTCCTGTTGTTTCTCAAAAGTCTTTAATAATTTATAAAATGAAAGAAGGTATTGCTACCAGGCAGACTTAACATTTCGGCTAGTGATAAACCATCAAGGACTGTATTATATAGCTTATTATGGTTGTAGCACCTGTGCATTTCTACAATAGCTTGCCGCCAAGGAGTAATTGATTCAATGATGGAATTTGGCAAGTTAAATGACTCTCTGAGGTGACGATGCAAGCTGGTGATTTTTATGTGCAAATGATTGTATTTTTATTATTATTATTTTTTTTTTGAAGTGGAAAGAGTGGTATAACCTTTTCTAACTTCCATGATACATAGCGTTGCAAACAATTGAGAATGTTTGTTCTTGCCAATTACTTGTATGTATATTGACCGAGTTTTGATCGTAATTATTTTAATGCTAATAATGATCACGCAAAACAAGTATACTAATCATTTGTTTATTATCATGATAAAGAATCCTATATAATTACCATCACTATATAAAAATAACAATGTAAAAGATGTGGCAACCTTTTCAATTTCACTTCACTATAATATCAATATACATACACACTCCCAAAAGTCATGGACTGCTTTTTTGAAATCCAATTAAAATTTTATCAATTTATTAACTACATGTGAAATTTTTACAGTATATTCCCGAATCATTTGTTTATGTTTGTTATGATTTCATCACTGAATAAAGAGTTACATAGAAGTTTTGTTATTGTGTTTGTTTTAAACCTTTAAAATTTTTTGATCGTCACATTTTTTTAAATGGAGGTTGATAATTTAAACTCAAAAAGGAAAGAATTAAATGAAGAAACCCGTGGTCAAATTGTTGGTATATTCAGAGCTGGTATTAGTGAGAGAGAAATTAGTAAAGTTCTTGGAATGCCAAAGTCTACAGTCCATAATATTTTGGTGTGCCATAGAGTCACGCTACAACAAGTTCTGCACCTCGATCTGGGCGTCCAAAATTAATTGATGAAGAAAAAGAACGAATTATAAATAGAATTGTTAATAAGAAACCCTGTAGTACTTTAGCTGAAATACAGCAAGACTTTGAAAAAAAAACTAATACTGTATTTGGGCTATTTTATAAAAAGAATTAAATTAATACACAAAAATCTCCAACTATTAACAAATAGCATATCTTTCTCAGAGACAAATGCCAATTTCTTCCTTTAGATCATTCATCTCGTGTTCAAAAAAAAAAAAAATAATATATATATATATATATATATATATTAAAACGACTGACAGAATTCAAAGTCGAAACAAAAAATCCTCTCGAGAGGAGAACATATACAAGTATGTATTACCTACTAGAGCAATGCCTACAAACCATGAGTTCAAGCTCTAGTTATTACTTAAAAAAATGATCGATTATTGATCAGCAACTTATTTTTTTCAAAATAAATTCCTTCAAAAAGTCAACTAGTTTTTTATTCTTGCCAATCTTGTCAACTCTAACAATGTTGCTCTCCCACTAAAATGTATTATTAAACTCGTAAATTATCTAACAAGCTTGTTTTACAAATTTGATTGTTATGGTATTGAAATTAAAGTTGGAATTGAGGATAATGCTAAAACTTTTAAGGCCCATTCCAACATTTTGAAATTTTATAGAATTTCATTAGAATATCAATTATCATTTAAAATGCCTCATGATAATTGTAAAGATATAATTTGTGAAAATCACATTATTCAATGAGATTTGGACAAATCGAAAATTTAGAAGAAAAGGAAGAGAAGAAAGAAAAAAAAATCAAGCTGGGAGATCTTTCACCAAAAACCAAAAGACTAAAATTAATCAGTTGGATGAAAATATTTCAGAATGGAATAGTGACAATGTAATTAACTGAAATTCTCTTAAGAGATATTATTCTGCTAATAGGATTCTAATCTCTTCAAGTGGTTTTCATAAAGAAATCAACCCCTATTGTGCAGGTCATTTAAAGACATTGAAAAAAATTGTACAACTTCAAACCACTAAGGCTTTTTTTTAATTAATAAAAGTCAGTTCAGAAAATCACCGTCATATTTTTTTGTAAGCAATCAGCAAACTAACAAATTTGCATTCTTCCGATTAAAAAAATGTCAAGACGAAATAATCAAACTGCACATTTGGGAAAAGCTAAAAATGTTAAAAAAACAAAAGTCAGATAACAAATTTGGAATATGCATCAAATGAAGAAGACCCAGGTAAAGAAATTGATTATACGAATTATTTAAATTACTCGTTTTGTTCGTTTACTCAATTACGTTTTATTCGTTTTATTCATTTTATATATTTGTTTTTTTATTCATTTATTCGAGTAAAGATTTATTTGAATAAACTTTCAATGTAATTTCGAATACTCAAATTCATAACAATAATAATAACGAATACGATAAATGATTGAGTCATGTGATTTTATAATCCCGTGACACCAAAGAGTATCGTTGCTATTTTGGGATTTGAAGTGTAACTCAGCTTCACAGATGTATATATACTCAAATTCATAACGAATGAAACAAACAATTTGATAAACCTTATTTGAATAGGACATTCTATCTTTTTTTTTCAATTCATATATAAAATTCATTGCCTCCACAAACTTTTTAAACTCATTCAAACTCTTATTGTTTCAGGTTCTAAAATACGATATCTTTGAGTAATTAAGTCTGTTCCTCCAGAAAAACTCATCCGACCAGGACATTGGTTACTATAATAAGTTTATTAGATTAGAAATTAATAAATTTAATTCTAAAAAATTAGAATACCAGGTTTGAATTTGTAGAAACCGAAACCGAACCATTCAGAGCTTTAGGTACGGAACCATTTCATAGTTGTAATTGAAAAAGTCAAATGCAATTATTGTCCTGGATAAATTTTTTTACTATTTATTTCCAATGACAACTCTTTTAGAATTCAAATTATTTCATATATATATATATATATTTGAATTAGATTTGAACTAAATCAAATCATTTATAGATTCAAATCAAAGTTCAAATCAAATCAAAGCACAATTTGTAATTTGATTCATACTTGATTCAAATGAAATAAATCTGCTAATATTCTCCATGTTTATATGGGGCTGTTTCAATAGAAAAGGACCAAATGTTGATTTTTATTAATCAGATGCACCTTCCATAAGATTTAATTATGATAGGAAAGCTATTCCCCAAAAATAAATTTATACTAATTAAAGTCATTATATTGCCCAATTATTTTTTTAATCATCCAAAATGGATTCGTGTGGAATAACACACCTTGATTTTCAGTTAAACTTTCCTCGACAATATAAGTGTATTGGTCATTTTTACGTTTCTCTGTCATTTTGTAAACAATCAAAAAATTAAATCTTGGACAATGTAATCTAAATTGTTTCTCATATCCGTCAGGACTTTTTTTAAAAAAACAAATAATCGCACAAGCATATTATTATACTATTACTATATAGATTTAAACGTAAATCAAAATCACAAGATTATCAGTTTCCACAGGATTTAACTTATAAATACGTTTACCATTTGCCATTATATATGCTTTATCTGTTTTTCTTCTTGGTTATTTTTCCAATTTGGCATCTTTAGTAGAAAATAATTTTTGAATAGTTAGTGGTTATTACTACTCAATTAGCTAATATAAATATAAATACATGCCCATGACTAAAATGAATTCGCTGCATAAACAATAATATACGTGAAGATCTTATTCGGAGAGCTTATTAGCTTGTTCAGAAGAAGAGATTGTGGGACTTGAAACAATTTGAAAGTGTAAAAAAATGTTCGAAATTCGACTGCGCCATATATACTATTAAAATTTGAATTCCAATAGCATAGTTAAAAATCTTTATATGGATAGATCGGCTACGAAATGTAACGTACACATTTTTTATATTTTTTTTTCCTGAAGAAATGTCTTCAAAAAAAGCCAAAAAGAACAATAAATCGAACGATAAAAAGAATAAACAAATCACTACTGATGATAATGATCATAATACAAATAAAAATATCATCAAAAAAAATAATAAAGATGAAATAGATTATATATTTTCATCCATTAAAAAAAAAAAAAAGACAACAAATTCACTGGAACTTGATGTTTCATCTAATCAAAAACCAATCAATAATGAATCAATCAAAATAACTGACAAATCAAAATCATATAAAAGGAAATTAAATATAAATGATGATGATGGTTTTAGTGATTCAAGAGGAACTAAAAATCGTATGTTGTGAAGATTGACGGCTTTATTTTTTTTTTATAAAAAAATCCTAAATTTTTAAATATAATAATAAATATTTAGGTAAAAGGACTGAAGATGGTTTGATGGTTTATGATTTAAATGAATTAAAAATTGGTGATGGTGGAGGTAAGGTAATTACTATTGTGTGTGAGATATATCCCTTTTATATACATTAATGGTTTTCTTTTGAATAGATACTTCATTATGTCCATTTGACTGTAATTGTTGTAAGTAATAATGAATTTATTATGTAGTTTGAATTATTAAAATTTAAAACTAATGATAAATTTTCAAAAAACAGGTTATTGATTGTATTTATGAAAGCAGCATTTCTTGTTGAACAAATGGAAAATAGTAATAATAACTCCAACTAGCTGGATATATAATATGAATTAATGTGAATGCAGTAATGAAAATATCAAACAAAATACATTGGGCTTGCTGAAATAAATAATGAAAATTATAGATTAATATAAATTTTTATTGATAAAAATACTGAAAGATGGACTTTTCTTCCCTACCTTTTAATAAATTTTCATTGACTGATCTTAAATAGAATTCTCCATGACGGTCTTTCACTAGATGCGATCTTTTTTAGAATTAAAAAAAAATATATAAATTTTTGGTAATTTAATTAAAATAAATATTTAAACAAAATATATTAATTTTTACCTTGCTCTTTTAGCAGCTAAATGTGCATAATCTAGATGTGTATATAACAATAAATATAAATTATTTTAATTATCTATAAGCGCGTAAAAATTAATTACTTACAAGTAGGCGGTGGTATTGAGACAGATCTTGTAGCACTAAAGCAAGAAAGTTAGAATAATTGAGTTATTTTTCAATTAAAAAAAATATTAATTTAAACCTACACTTGGTAATTATAAGAAAGTTTGTTTGTTAAATCTTGAATACTATCAGCGTCAAAGTTATTTTGGTCATAAAGTACATGACCTTTAATTAAGAAAAAAGGTAAATATAATTTTTTTTTTAAAAAAAAAACAATAAAATCAAGAAAAAAATTAATAATATACAATGAACAGGCCGGGCAGTTCCTTGTATAGTTGCGTGAGACAACAAAACTGAGCGAGAAAATAAATAAATAAATAAATAATTTATCAATCAATCAATAAATATTAAAAATAAGCAAAAAGAACAAATAATTACAAAAATCAAATAAGTAAGGATGCGTTATATCTCTATCAACCACTGTTCCAACTACACAATTCCCTTTGCTGTGTTTATCACAAAAGAGTATTCTCAATTAGCACCATCATATATATGTTATTAATAATAAAATCATTACCTATCAGTATCAATTTGTTCCTTTGGATAAAGTCTTGTCTGATGTCTTTTGCCTATTGTTATAAATGTGATTTTTGGTTTATATGACCCGCTTAATTTTATACAAGCCTCTAAAAAAATTATATATATATAATATTTAGGAATTTTTATCGGTTTTAAAATAAATGACATAAATAAATGTAAATATTACCCTTGATCTTTTTGAGTTCATACTCTAAAACCATCTTGAATTGACTTTCGGATACACCATCACGATACATGATTATACGATCAGGCAGGGCTCCATTTTTTTCATGATAAACTGACAAGATTCGATAAACCATTCCACTAATGTTTTCGATTTTTTCTTGTCCTACTTTTTGACTTTCTATCATGGGAAAATACTGTCCACCTTGTTTATCAAGAGAACCAACAACAGCACAAATTGAGGGCATGACTTTAGGAATAAATTATTAAAAATAAACAATTAGCAAATTACTTAAAAATAAAGAGAAATAAATCGTGTAAAATATTTAATACCCGTAGGTCCTGCTTGTCCAGTAAAATGCGTAACATCTGCTCCGAGTAATAGGACGTGATCGTTTTTCCAAAAGGGTACATTAATTCCATCAATGGATTGATTGATACCTCCAAGTCTTATATTGACCTTTGATGAAACATTAGCAAAATATTGCTGTGACGATTTTTTTATTTTATCATATTGTACACATTGAGACGGTATTCCAAGAATAGTGTCAACGGTGTTTTTAACAGCATGATACCGTTTTTCATCTTCATCAGGAAGAACGATAAACATAAATTGTATATCATTTTTTAACATTTTATTGGCATTGCGATATTGTTTTTTAATTTCTTCTTCAATAATTTCTGATACAACCTCATCTCTACAGAATTCAATTCTGGGGTTGTCTTGATAGATTTCCTTTTGGAAAAAAAAAAATTTATTAATACTAATTAATAAAAAATAAAGAAAAAATATATCTCTAAAAATTTTTACCATCCCTTGAGCTCTACTAATTCTAACAAATTCTTTGATGAGACCTTTAAGAGAATAAAGCATATTGTGCGAAAATCGAGAAAATACAATCACAATCCAATAATTAAGGGGAGTCCCACTTTTAATATATTTCCGATTTCGAAGATTCCAAACACCTTTATTATTAGAAAATCATTACTGATTTGCTTCATATCAAAAAAAAATTTTTTGAATCTTCTATTTTTAATTCCCAAGTTCTCCCAATTAATTAATAAAAATATTTTTACCTTTATCTGCAACAAAAGACTTGCCAGCTTTGGAATTAGGATGATACAAAACACTAGGTGGTGACAAAACACGAGCTTTAAAAATTTGTTTATAAATAATTGAAATAAAAAAAAAATTCAAATCATAATTTTCATTAAAGATTTAAACAAAATCAAATATATAAAAAATAATAAATTTCTACCTGGAGCAATTGTCATTTCTGTATCAACGACAGTGCCAAATTCTTTTAATTTTTCATCATTTTTAAATTCTAAAACATTATTTATTCCTTCTTTCAAACTTTTGATATTATCTCTAGGACATAATGCCGTATATTTAATCATTGTTTTTCTCTGTTCACCACTTAAGTTTGAAGTTTTAAATCTTTGACCCTAAATTAAAAAAAAAGTCCATAAGTAGATATATAGATATATATAAATAAAGTTCATATATTTAGATTACCTCTAAAATATAACAGACTTCAATAGGAACTTTAATGGTATCATGACCTTTAATTTCTACAAGATACGAATATTCCAAATTTTTTTTATATTTGAGATAATAATATTTTTGAACGTCTATTTGTTTACCAAATTCTTCGGAATCAAATTTAACTTCAAAAGATTTAAAAGTGCTCAATCCTTTAATTTTCATAATCCTATTATTACGATATGTTAGATTAAATTTTAAATTTTTTATGAATTTATTTATCCTTTCATGTCTATTTTGGTCCAATCTGGATGGAAGAAATTCGGTTGGCCTTAGTCCTAAAAACTTTTTAATTAATTCTACCAGGTTACCCGGTTCATAAAATACTTTAAATGTTGTGTTAACATTGATAAAATATTTATCTAGATTAAATTATAATAATAATTATTATTAATTAAATAAATAAGAAAATACCCAAAAATCAATAATAATAGTTCACCTTGTCCAGGTCTAAAACTCTCAAACCAACCCATCCATATCTCTGCACCACCTCCTAAACTTCTCCGAGTAGATGGTAAAAAAATCGATTCATCAATTCGTACATATTTCATTGAAGGAATATGGTGAATTAATGCATTAATTCCGTCTATTCCGGCTAAATAAACAAGCAAATAAATATTTATTATTATTATTTATATCAAATTAAATCATGTAATATTTATTTTCTCATCTACCTAAATCAAAATAGTTCCAATCCATATTATTTCCTGCGAAGTTTTTTTCAAGATCTTCGAGATTGACACGTTGAAGTTTACAAACTTTAACTATATATTCAGTTTCATTGAATTTATTATTTTGCTCTTCACCATCCTGGCCTTCTTCTTTCAAAATAACCTGGTCAATTTTTTGCATATTTATTCTTTAGTAAAAATCATATATAATAATTTTAAAAAAATCAATTGTTAAATATCTAACCAATGTAGTAGCAAATTTATTTTCGGATCCAAGATTTAATGATTCAGTTGTGTAAAGTGTTGAGGTACCTAAAAAATAATATTAAATTAATTTTTGTGAATCGATAAACTAATAATAAGAATGATGATGATGGTCTTTACAATCATAAACAACGCCAATTCCTGAAAACCATCCATCACGTTCTTGTTCTTCTAATTTTTGGAAGACGGCGCGTAAAGTGTCCGGAAATGGTTTTTTAGGACTTCTTGTTTGATTTTCATTCGTGTTATCATCATGATCATTATCAACATTATTATTATTTCTTTTTCGTAAAACTGTTTCTATAGTGATATTATATCTTTCTAAATACGGTTTTTCTGCAATCTAATATGATTATTATTATGTACGCATTAATAAAGTTCAAAGAAAAATGTTAAGTATTTTTATATTTCAAGTAAAAAAAACAATATCTTTATACCTTTTTTACTTCAAAATAATTTGCATATACTTCTGTTTCACGACCTTTAATCCCATAATTTGGTCTCCTTATAACTTCATTAGTTTCTTCTTTATTCAAAGGTCTCCCTTGAACTTTGTCAGAAACTTCTTTTAATTTTTCTTTAATATTCGACATACTTCGATTTTAGATATATCACAGTGGGGCGTTACATATCAGCATAAACACAAACATAGTTGAGCACACAAAAAATCATGTGAGGATTTTTTATTGGGAAAATGCAGATCAATTTAACTAGGGTTGTGTTGGTCCAGTCCGATCCGGTCTCGGTCCCAAAAGACCGTCTTTTTTTGAAAGACCAAAGGACCGGTCTTTAGATGCGGTCTTTGGGACTGGTTAAAGATCGTCTTTGGGATTGTTTAAAGGATTTTGATGTGAATCACATATTGCAAAGTAGCTTTTTGGTCGATCTTGATTATCTTACATTTTATGACCAGGTTCAAATTAACTTTTTACACTCAACAATTATTTTATTTTACAAATTTATCCTGCTTACTACCTAGAAATCTTTGGCAACAAATAACAATGAATTTCATGAAAAAATTCCCAAACTGTACTCTTTTGAATATTATTTGTATGTGGTGATGATGTTGTTGTGGATGTTGTTGTGGATGATGATGTTGTTGTTGTTGTTGTTAAATTACTAGATATATTAGAAACTGAATCTTCAATATAAATGGTTTCATTTTCATTAAGAAACTTTTCTTCCCCTTCGAAATTGTGATTTAATTCCTCCGAGGACATTATAGAAAGCCAATCTTCAACTAAGTCTTTGTTTTGTTTTGTTGTTATTATTGCTACTGCTCCTATTTCTGCTATTCTTTCTATTACTATTTCTGTTTTAATTACCAATAATAATAATATTATTAATACCTACTACTGTTATATCATTAAGTTATATTAAATAAACTATTGGTTTTTATTATACATACTAAATTATTATCATTGATTTTCTATTATTAAAGTTCCTTAGTATTAGCCTCAAAGAGTGAACAATGTAAGAATTAATTTTTAAACAAAAGTTTGGCCTTTCAATAAAACATAATAATAATGAATAAAATAAAAACTCAAAAAAAAGATATCATAAAAATTTTATTGTTCAAAATTTCCTTATTAAGAAAGATCAGCTGGTCTTATAAAGACCAGTCCAAGACTGGTCAGCATAGTGGAAATTTGAAATGTTGCACTAATTTTTTATATTGTGCAACGTAGATTTACAATACGCGCCAAACATTCTGGCAATAAAAAGTAAGTGATAAACTGGATTTGAATTGGATCTGAACTTGATCTACAATTTAGAGAGGTAACAACTATATGCTAGACCGGTCCTAAAATTTAGGTCTTTTAAAGACCAACACAACCCTAAATTTAACAAATAATAATAGTCGAACGATGTGTCACATTAAACGATTGGGAAGTGTATTTTCCGAAATTTTCTGGTGATCAACGTCGAAATTCTATTAATAAAATTAGCCACAAACCTTAATTTTAACCCTTTTTTGCTCACCAATCT